TCTTGAAGAAGATCCCTCTCGAATCTCTAACTACTTTTCAAGGAGATTTCTCTCTAATATTTAAAATTTCGTATGCTTGTTTGTATCGCCGCATATTCAATAATTATTTTGATGTCTAAAGCTTTCATGCATGTTTATTTGATGTAAGTGCATTTTTATGAAACAAATCTCTAATCTCTTCTCCCTCACAGTTCAATGGTTTCAAATGCATGTCAATCAATGGTTTAATCACGAATTACGTACAGATAGTTCTAGCTCCTGCTAATTAAATTTAAAAGAAAAAAAAAAAGAATCATGAAATATAGAAACAAAAATGAAATAAGCAGAGGAGAGAGGTACCCGGAGAATCGCCAGAGTCAAAATAGAGGAGGAACTCGTATCGAGACGCTATTCAATGGTCGCTGGATATAAAACAGGAGTTGAGATTAAAGAGATTAGAAATCGAATTATCGTTATTGTTAGCTTACAAATCAATGTTATATTTAGCAAATAAGAGAGAGAGAGAGAGAGAGAGAGAGAGAGAGATTGTAACGGCGGTGCATGGAGCCTGGTTCTTCTCATAGACATCGATCCATCTCGTACGTATCCTGTTTTCCTCAGACAGATCCCATCTCACATTTACCATGTTTTTCGTTAAATTCAATTTATTATTATTATTATTATTATTATTATTATTAGTTAAATTACACTTTCTCCCTTATATTCGACCACTTTTCCACTTTTAGCTTTCAAGTTTTCATTTTGGACTTTCACATTTCAAATTTTTTTTCAGTTTACTCATAAAATTAATTTTTGTTTAAAATTAAATAAGAAATAACATATTAACAATCACATGACATAAAAATATTTTATTATATATAACTGGCATTTCTAACACAAACTCAAACCTAAATTTAAAAAAAAACAAAAAACAAAAAAAAAAATTGAAAAACGAAAAAGTAAAATTTTTTGAAAAGTAAATTCTGAAAATAAAAACCAAACAAAGTGATTATTGTTATGTTCGAAAATTTTGTGGTTTTATAGACATCATGAGATTGTTTTTCTATTTTGAACGCAACTCAATCTGCGAGACAGAGCAGCTCAATACGGAAATCTTTAACTTCTTTCTCTCTCTCTCTCTCTCTCTCTCTTTATATATCTATATATATATATTCATATCTATCTATCTATCTATCTATTATATAAGAAAAAAGGGATTTGTATAGCGATCCTGATTTAGATCTTATCCATTTATTGCTTTTAAATTCGGGAAATCACATCTGTAGCGGTCGTTCTCCTTTCCTTTCATGTTTGGTTTTGCTTCTAAGGTCGACACCATGGTTTCCTGGGGTTGACACCATCTTGCTGCCTTACTCTTGGTGTCTCTACTAGTTTTTAGGGTCAACACCACCTTGCCACGATGTCCTAGGAGTGGCTATTGGTTTTTAGGGTCGATACCACGGGTTCAAAGGTCGACCCCCTTGTCTGTTGCAAACATAAGTGTCTCAGCATTTCTTCTTGAGGGTCAACACCACTGTTGTCACAACCCACACCCACCTCTAAAAGTTTATGTCACGACCCGAACCCGCCCCTATGGGTTAAGGACATGACCGGCCAGTAATCCTGTGATTACCTACGGCCTCAGACCGAAATAAGATGACTTGTCAGAGTAAAGGGGCCAAACGGAAGCAAGAATTAAAACTTTGTCCATAGAGCCGTGCTTATATGCACATCAACAGACCATACTCAGATACGTTAATAACCCACATCAAAAGTACAGTTTCATAAAATTCATTACAGACAGGATCACCCAAAACGAGTCAACCTATGACAGACCATATACAGATATACATAAAGTCCTTGCCGACAAGACCAAATGTAAAATACATGGCAAAGAGGCAAGGATAGGTCTCAAGAGTGAGACGCAAGGCTGACTTCCCCAAAACTTGGATTTTTCCTAGCAGACTTCACTGGGGCTGGGTTTGAACTTCCCTTGGCTCACCTACAAACACATGAATGAGCGTGAGCGATAGCCCAGTGAATAATATCAAATACAAACGTCATATAAACAATATGTAGAACAATATACTCCAAACGGCCTTGGGCCCAATTCATATTCCTACTTAACATATGTGCATTTATACAAAGTTCAGATCAAGTGACTGTAGTTCTAAACATATTGGCCTTTGGCCCATTCTGATTTCCATCTACGTCAAAACGGCCTTCGGCCCAGTCATTCATGTCAAAACGGCCTTCGGCCCATTCATTCATGTCAAAACGGCCTTCGGCCCATTCATTTGTGTCAAAACGGCCTTCGGCCCATTCATTTATATCAAAACGGCCTTTGGCCCATTCATTTATATCAAAACGGCCTTTGGCCCATTCATTTATATCAAAACGGCCTTTGGCCCATTCATTTATATCCAAACGACCTTTGGTCCAATCATTTATATCCAAACGACCTTTGGTCCAATTATTCATTCATGTCAGACCTTTGTCCATAATCCCAATTAGCAACTCATAAAGCTTATAAGGGAATACACAATTGGACATTGATAAGCTTTCAAGTATTGATATTACTCACAGTGATCGGCTTGTGGATTTGCCCTGGAACTTGACCCTACACATTTCATGAGCACAAAGGGTCACTAACAGTTCAATCTGTTCTTTCATTCACATATTTCTCTTTAGGCTTAATTCACATTTCATTTGCTCATTTACAATGCTTAACATATGCCTAAGAGTGCTTACAAGTGAAAGAGAACGGAAAACAGAACACAGAATGCATGAACGAAATTTCAGAAAATAGGGTCCCCGTTCGAGCGTCAACTTACCCGCTCGAGCGGACCCTTAAGGCCTACAAAAGTACTGGTTGCGTGAAAAATACGCTCGAGCGTTAAATAGGGCGCTCAAGCGGAAGTCCTGTTAAAACAGCTCTCACGCTCGAGCGTTAATTACCCCGCTCGAGCGGACATCAAGTCTGCAAAAAGGTACTGGGAGCCCGCATTTCCCGCTCGAGCGTCAGGTTCCCCGCTCGAGCGGACCTCAAAATTCTGGAAAACCCAGAACTGTGTTCCTGAGCTTCATTTCGACTTTCAACCAACAATTCATGCATGTTATGGCCCAAATTACACATTTACATCATTGATCTTCCCAGGTTGAGTTCTTGAGCTCCATTCCGACTTTTAACCAACAAATCATGCATGTTGTAGCTCAAATATCACATATAAGTATACTAACAAGGTATAAACACCAAAACACCTTATTATGGAGCTCAATTTCAAGGATTAAACACTTGCATGTCTCAAATTGACACCAAACTCAATTCTATCATACATATTCATGCATTCAAAGCTCCCATCTTCAATTATTCAGACATGCATGCCCATTTGACTTCATATTCACTTCAAATAATGTAATTAGTGCTCATTCCCATAAAATTTAACAAAGACATGCTTGCATGTGGGATTACACTACCAATCTTTCACAATTTCACAATTTACATGCTAGATTTTGTGATTCCATAGGAATTCTCTACATGCATGCACATATCAAGCCTCAATTTCAATAAAACCAGCTCAAATCAGGCTATTGATCACCACAACACAAAATTACTAACCGTTTTTATTACTAATTTTCTAATTTCAAATAATTAATTACAAATCAAATAATCTATATATATTAAGCAAAAGGAAGTTTTCAAAGATGAAGGGTGTGGAACCTCCAAAATCTCATAATAAACTTTACGATTTTTTAATAATTAATTTTTTTTTCTATTGGTTAATTCTCATTTAATCATATAAATAAAATTCTAATTATCCCATAAAGAACTCTTTAGTATCCCATAAATTATGACTTTTAAATGGAAAGTTTGCTTAACCATTTCAAAATTTAAATTATGGAAGCAATTCACTAGAATGCAATTGTTCCATAATTTATCACTTTTAAAAAGAACATATATTTTTCCATTTCAAAATTTAATATGATAAACCATTCACTAGAATTTAATTATCTATCTATCTATCTATATGCAAAGCCAAAGAGTTTTTTTTAACTAAGAGCTTTGTGAGTGTTCTATTTTTTATAGTAAATTTTTAATTTTTTAATAATTAAAAATAAATTATAAAAATGCTAATCTATTAAACTATCAATTTTAAAAATATAAATAATCCCATAATTTATGGTTTTCAAAAAGGAATGAAAAAAAAAAAAACCTTTCCTAATCTCCCCAATCTACCTAAATGCATTGGCTCTCACGAATTTGAAAAGAAAATAATCATTTTCAAAATTTAAATTTCGGTATACTAAAATATAGGAATCAATTCATATTTTCCATAGATGTTTCTCTTAGTATTATTTAATGGCTTCAAGTGCATCAAAATTTTAAACAGATTTCAATTAAAACATTAACTACTAGAGTACATGTTTCTTGAAGAAGATCCCTCTCAAATCTCTAACTACTTTTCAAGGAGATTTCTCTCTAATATTTAAAATTTGGGTAAATTACATATACCTCCCTCGAGATTTAGCTAAATTACAGATACCCCTGAGATTTCGGAATTTACAAATACTCCTGAGATTTATATTTTCATAACAAATTGCCCCCTGAGGTTTATATTTTCATAACAATTTGTCCCCTAATTTGCTATGCAAATAGTACTGTCAGGGGTATCCGTAATTTCTCTAATCTCAAAGTATCTGTGATTTTGCTAAACCTCAAGGGTATATGTAATTTGCCCTTAAAATTTCGTATGTTTGTTTGTATCGCCGCATATTCAATAATTATTTTGATGTCTAAAGCTTTCATGCATGTTTATTTGATGCAAGTGTATTTTTATGAAACAAATCTCTAATCTCTTCTCCCTCACAGTTCAATGGTTTCAAATGCATGTCTATCAATGGTTTAATCACGAATTACGTACAGATAGTTCTAGCTCCTGCTAATTAAATTTAAAAGAAAAAAAAAAAGAAGAATCATGAAATATAGAAACAAAAATGAAATAAGCAGAGGAGAGAGGTACCCGGAGAATCGCCAGAGTCAAAATAGAGGAGGAACTCGAATCGAGACGCTATTCAATGGTCGCTGGATGTAAAACAGGAGCTGAGATTAAAGACATTAGATATCGAATTATCGTTATTGTTAGCTTACAATCACTGTTATATTTAGCAAATAAGAGAGAGAGAGAGAGAGAGAGAGAGAGAGAGAGATTGTAACAGCTGTGCATGGAGCCTGGTTCTTCTCATAGACATCGATCCATCTCGTACGTAACCTGTTTTCCTCGGACTTTAGATCCCATCTCACATTTACCTTGTTTTTCGTTAAATTCAATTTATTATTATTATTATTATTATTACTATTATTAGTTAAATTACACTTTCTCCCTTATATTCGACCACTTTTCCACGTTTAGCTTTCAAGTTTTCATTTTGGACTTTCACATTTCACATTTTTTCTAGTTTACTCATAAAATTAATTTTTGTTTAAAATTAAATAAGAAATAACACATTAATAATCACATGACATAAAAATATTTTATTATATGTAATTGACATTTCTAACACAAACTCAAACCTAAATTTAAAAAAAAACAAAAAACAAAAAACAAAAAAAAATGTGAAAAAAAAATTGAAAAATGAAAAAGTAAAATTTTTTGAAAAGTAAATTCTGAAAATAAAAACCAAACAAAGTGATTATTGTTATATTTGAAAATTTTGTGGTTTACCATAAAATACGTTTTATTTATTTTAATAATCAAGACTGAACTGTGTATTGAGAAAATCAAACCAAACTATACGGTCTAGATTAGTTTGGTTTGCGACTTTTTCAATTTTTTTCTCAGCCCTATATATATTCATATCTATCTATCTATCTATTATATAAGAAAAAAGGGATTTGTATAGCGATCCTTATTTAGATCTTATCCATTTATTGCTTTTAAATTCGGGAAACCACATTTGTAGCGGTCGTTCTCCTTTCCTTTCATGTTTGGTTTTGCTTCTAGGGTCGACACCATGGTTTCCTGGGGTTGACACCACCTTGCTGCCTTACTCTTGGTGTCTCTACTGGTTTTTAGGGTCAACACCACCTTGCCACGATGTCCTAGGAGTGGCTATTGGTTTTTAGGGTCGATACCACGGGTTCAAAGGTCGACCCCCTTGTCTGTTGCAAACATAAGTGTCTTAGCATTTCTTCTTGAGGGTCAACACCACTATTGTCACGACCCACACCCACCCTTAAAAGTTTAGGTCATGACCGGCCTGTACTTAGGCCTCAGAGATAAAATTTCAAAATACTCAAATCATATCAGGGCCTAAGGCAGAAGCAAATAAATAGCAAAACGTCCATTGAGCAATGCTTATATGCCAAGATCATCAAACATCATATTCAAATAGTTCATATACACAGTTTATATATATACAACCACAAATCATGTACGTTAGCAATCCAAAAATTACATATTCACAAGTGTCTAAGCAACAAGCTTCAAAAGACTTAACAAAATGTGAAGACAATTTCCAAAAAAAGACAAAAGGCTCCACTTTGAAGGCTAAACAAAACCGGTCCATCAAAAGGTTCCTGAAGCTGACCTAGGGCTGGCCTCCAAGCTGATCACCTACATAAATATATATATATAAAAAAAAAACAAAGTGAGCAAAGCTCAGTGAATAATAATAATAATGTAAGGAGATTCGTGTGAATGTGCATATGTCTTGGAGAATATTTATCAAACATATACATGTCTCCATAATCATATTCCAAACGGCCTCGGGCCCACATAAGAGGGAACGTCCCAGGGCCCAACGTAAGACGAAACGACTTAGGGCCCAACGTAAGACGGAACAGCCTTAGGCCCAACGTAATGCACAACGGCTTTAGGCCCAACATAATACACAACGGCCTCAGGCCCAACATAGTACACAACGGCCTCAAGCCCAACACGGTACACAACGGCCTCGAGCCCAACATAATACACATAGGGTAGATGGAACATCAGCATATCTCCATTTCTCTCAGCCTTAGAGCCATTAATCATATCAATTCATATCATGGTAGGGTAGATGGAACATTGACATGTCTCTACCTTCCTCGGCCTTAAGGCCATTATATATAACGGAAACAGAACAACCTCTGGCCCATTTCATATGCCATTGCTCAATCGTTTCCATCAATTTATAATTTATCTAACGTATGCCATTCATAATCAAAAGTGTTACATTCATAATCAAATACATGAATTAAATCACCATTTAACTCAAATATGCCATTCACGTTCAAGATACATAATTCATAAACAAAAATACATAAATAAACATATCGTTACACTGTTATTACTCATAGTGGTTTAGTTGAGCGACGGTCACTTCTTGCAAGTGACCTACACATGACACACACACACAAATGGATAATCAATACATTTTTTTCTTAGCTTCCATTCTTTAATTATTCTTCCGTTCATTCACTTCCTATTCATTTTTAAGCATTTTAGAGGATCAAATAGACACATTAACAAATTCAGAGGGTCAAAAAGAGCAGAAGAAGTTGATAGAATTTTTCTCCACTGGCCGAACATGTGGAAGTGCCCCACCGCACGTGTGGAAAGGTGTGTCGCACGGGCAGCTCTACATGTGCTTTTTATTTCAGATTGTTCAGTTTGCCTCCCCTGCTTTCCGCACGTGCAGCTATTAGCCCCGCATGTGTGGCCATGAGCCTCGCACGTGCGGCCATAAGCCTCGCACGTGCAGTCCTAGGCTCTGTTTGAGCAGTCCGAAACTTTAACAAAATCAACCTCTTCAAAGGCATGTCGAGGCTCTAATTCAAGCAATTTTATTTAAAGAACATAGTATATAATCATAATAACCGTGAAATTCAAACCCAATGAGATCAAACTTCTTTTAATTTGACATATAAATTTCTAATTTCCATTTTTCCTTCACTTTCTTCATCTTTTCATGATATATATACATACATACTCATACATATATATACATGAGTTCAAAACATGCCAAAACTAAAGATAAAAAGGCAATGGCCCACAATCTAACTCAAGGCAACTCAAAACACAAGAATCAACCCTTTAATTAGCCAAATCCAAATATTACATCTTCAATTTCATGAAATTGGTTAAGTTAAGATCATAACCGAAAACCCTAACTTTATGAGTGTAAAAGCTTCATCTTAGGGGTTGATGTTCATCAATTAAAGGAAGATTGAGAGTAATCTAGTTGATTCACACTTACCTTGAGCTATAATCTTGATTTCCCCCCTTCAATTCCCAAATTCCAAGCTCCTATGGTGAGCTCTCTTCTTTTTCCCTCTTTTTTCTTCTTCTCTCTCTTCTCTTTTCTCTCTTCTCTCTCCACGTTTTTGTCTCTCCCAAGGCTAAAGATGAGCTCACTTATATATAAGAAGTCATATATATCTAAATAGGCCAACTAAACATAACTTAATGAAGCAAACGAAATTAATTTTCAATTAAACTGCTCAAATGGCTCTAAAAATTCCCATTAGCATATCCATGTACTCAATTTTGGTTCCTGAACTCATCAAGTCGTTAATTTCAGTTTCAAAGTGTTAGCTCTAGGAGTTCTAGCCAAATAAAACTAATTAATTCATTACGAATCAAATTTTTACAAAACTTCATATTATGTCCTAAAAATCATAATAATCATAACTTCCTAAAAATCATGATAATCATAACTGTAAATTCAATTCCTGGTTACCACGCCTCTAAGGCTTTCAATTTGTAGTCCGAAGGTCGTAATTTCAATAGATTTTCTTATAACCAATAGGTACAATCTCATAAGCACATAATTTCACACATTTAAACATGGAATTTCACATCAAGCATATAATCACATATATAATAACACAGATAATGAGGGAATTAGAGCATAGGCAGTATATGAGAGAGTTGGGTTATTACAACTGCCTTGGGTCTCAACCCTTACGACTTATTTCCAGATTTTTGGGTTCGATTTGAGCCCTATTTTTGGAGGTTTTTGACTTATTCTTTTCATTAACTTTAGGGCTACTGTTATACCACTATAAATAAACCTCAAACACACTTTCCTCATTCATTTATTCTCTCTCTCTATCTCTCTTCTCTCTTTGAGCCATGAATCTCTCTCTTTCTCTCTAAACTCAACTTTTCTCACATAAATCTCTAGATCTACTCGGTTAGAGACATCTTTTCACCTTGGTCTTTGAGAAAGGTTGTGGATCTCATCAAGGGCTTTCTTTTGATCCAAGAGCTTCGTATTTTCGTCGACATTGGCCTTTAGGGCTTTTTGGCTTTCTCGTCTTCCAGAGTTGAGGTAGGGTCTATTTCCTTAACTCAATATGAGGTCGGTAGCATATTTGTGGCATATTTTGTTATTTATATTTGGTAGTCATTTGGTTGATTTTGAAATGTTATTTTGGGCTTGAGTGTTTTGTGAAATTTGGGGGGTTTTGGGCTATAGTTATGCTACTACGGTTATTTTCGGTATACAAATTGCATATAGATTTCCAAAAGTGGAAAAGCCCCAATTTGTAGAAAAATCCTATATTGTTTTGGGAGTTGGATTGATTTTTGGTAAATGGTTTGGTTGGAAAGAGATGGAAAGGAAATAGTTGTGGGATTTTGAAAATGGGTGTTGTTACTCTTTTGGAAAAATATATCTGTATTGTTATCTATTAATTATTGCATTAGAAATAACTGTTTTGGCTAACAGTAGAGGATAGCATTGCCGTGTGTTAGAAATTACATGTGGATTAGGCAAATTGAAATCATTCATATCATGGAGCATGTAATGGATTTTTGGAATTTGAAACTGTATGTTTGGAAAGAGGTTTTGGAAATTCTCTTATTTTGTTGTGGAGCATTTACATTGTTTTGGAAAATAATATTTTGAATCACATGTATTGTGCTATTGGAAAAAGGTAAATAAAGTGGTAAAGCTATGGGGGGTGTTAAAACAGAATTAAGTTGGCCCATGTGTCCATGGTGAAAGACCTAAACCCACGCAGTAGGTGTCGAGTCTTCCGGTTAGCACTGGTAAAAATGACGTTATGACTTGTATAGTTACTCATATGAACACTAGCCCTGGAGATTTACCCATTTTATTTATTATCATTTTGGCTTGAGATGATGTGTTTGAAAAAGGTTCTAGCAATGTGTTTGCTGTTGTTTAGCGATGTATTCGCATTTGATTTAGCAATGTATTTGCTGGTTGGTATTGAGATGCCTAGATTGGTTTTTGGAAAGGGATTTTATATCAAACAGATGTTTTGAACTCGCAAAATGTTTT